GAAGAGGGGAAGGGAAGGGAAGAGAAGAGGGGAGAGAAGAGAAGGGACATGGGAGGAGAGGAGAAGAGGAGAGGAGAAGGGAAGGGAAGAGAAGAGAAGAGGGAAGGGGAGAGAAGAGAGGGGACATGGGAGGAGAGGAGAAGAGGAGAAGGGAAGAGAAGAGAAGAGAAGAGGGAAGAGGAGAGGGGACCTGGGGGGAGAGGAGAGAAGAGAAGAGAAGAGACCCCTGAGGCTGGAAGTTGCAACAGCAAGCTAGGGTCAACACACAAGAGTTGGGGAAACAGGAGAAGAGAAGTCTGTGGAGGTCCCTTGTTCCCACAGAGAGGGGCCCGTTTCCTGTCCATGCATGTGCCAAAGCAGCCACAGAGCTTGAATCTTGTGCAGAGCCAGCCGCTGCGACTGCAGGAGTTCATTTCCACTGGTGGGAACATCTCTGCATCGTAATTAGGCTGCTGCTTTTCCTTTCAAAGCCATGCATGTGTGGCCTGAGAATTCCTTAGGCATTACAGGGTCCTTTGTGAAGGGCCTGTTATTTGCTACAAAAGGGTTTGCGGTGGAGCTGGGATCGAGTCAAAGTCCTCTGTTCCATAATGGTTGCCAAAAATAAGAGGAGAGGAAAAATGAGGAGCTCAAATCCGAAGAGAAGCACCGACCGCAGGCCTGCCCTCCAAATGCAGAGTGGAGACTCCAGCCAGCTTTGCTGTGACCACGGGCGCACAACCCCTCTAATTCCAGAGAACTCCAGCTCTCTTATTGTAAAGCATTGGACAAAGTAGACCACAACTTACTCCTTGATAAGCTAGAAAAGGTTCTCAACCTTTTTAATGCCGCAACCCCCAACCGGTCGTAAGTCAAGGACTAAACCAGTCGTAAGTCGAGGACTAAACCAGTCGTAAGTCGAGGACTACCCAACCGGCCGTAAGTCGAGGACTTTCCCTGCCTGGGAGTACTGCACATGCGTGGTTCTGCCCCCTGCGCCGGCCGAGGCGTAGCTGGCAAGCGGCAGAGACGGAGCAGGCCGACCACCAACTGGCCCAGCTCAAGGGAGGTAAGGCACCCGCCAGAAAAGGGGGAAAAAATGGCAGACAGCCTTGCTTGGCGACCCCCGTGAAATGGTCAATCGACCCCAAATGGGGTCCCGACCCACAGGTTGAGAACCACTGAGCTAGAAGAAGGTGGAATAGACAACATCACCACCAGATGGATTTGTAGCTGGCTGGCAAACCGTACTCAACGAGTAGTCCTTAATGGTACTACATCTACATGGAGAGAAGTAAGCAGTGGGGTTGCACAAGGTTCCATCTTAGGCCCAGCACTCTTCAATATCTTCATCAATGGCTTAGATGAGGGAATTGAAGGGGAACTTATCAAATTTGTAGATGACACTAAACTGACAGGAGTAGCCAACATCCCAGAAGACAAAACTCAGGATCCAAAAAGATCTTGACAAACTTGAACAACGGGCCCTATCCAGCAAAATGAGTTTCAATGTAGAGAAAAGCAAAGTTTTACATTTAGGCATCAAAGGTGTATATATAGATTGGGCAAGACCCGGCCCAAAAACAGTCAAGTCGTGGGGGCTGCTTTGCACCTGGGGGTTCCTTGTTTTTTCTCTTTGGGTTATTCTGAGTTTGATTTTTTTTAAAGGTATTTTTGATTGCATTTGGGCCACTTTTAGACAGCAGTGGTCCAAACTTGGCACTGGGTCCCCAGCAACGTGTGTGTGTGTGTGTGTGTGTGTGTGTGTGTGCGTGCACATATAATCTTACAGGGTTTTTTTCTTTTGCTATCCCAACTTTTCCTAATAACCAGCCGAGGAAATGATACCCTTTCTGGGACTAATCTCTGTTCTTGGTGACCACTGACTTTGACTTTCAGTGGCCAGGTCTGAGCTCTCTTGGGGGATGCCTTGCTTGATCGGAGTCTGGCTCATGCCAGGTGTTCCACTGACCTTCGTGGGGCACACAGTAGACGGGTCCTTCGTCTGTGGTATCGAAGGAAGAGAAGGAGCCCCTGGACGACCAGGAGGGCGACGGCTGATCCACCACAGAAGGAGGTTCAATGAAGCTGCAGTTCAGGGTGTTCTCCAGGTCATGATGAGCCACTGCAAGATATGGAGAGGGTGGAAAAGGGAGGTTCAATCAATCAATCAGTCAATCAATCAGAATAGAGCTGGAAGGGCCCTTTGAGGTCTTCTAATCCAACCCGCTACTCAAACAGGAGACCCTATACCATTTTGGACAAGTGGCTGTCCAGTCTCTTCTTAAAAGCCTCCAGGGATGGAGCAGCCACAATGTCTGAAGGCAAAGCTGTTCCACTGGTTAATTGTCCTCACAGTTAGGAAGTTTCTCCTTAATTCCAGGTTGCTTCTCTCCTTGATTAGTTTCCATCCGTTGTTTCTCATCTTGCCTTCTGGTGCTTTGGAAAATAAGTTGACCCTCTCCTCTTTGTGGCAGCCCCTCAAATATTGGAACACTGCTATCATGTCCCTTCTATTCTATTCTATTCTATTCTATTCTATTCTATTCTATTCTATTCTATTCTATTCTATTCTATTCTATTCTATTCTACAATCTGTCTATTCTATTCTTTTTTATTCTATTCTATTCTATTCTATTCTATTCTATTCTATTCTATTCTATTCTATTCTATTCTATTCCATATAAATATTCTATTCTATTCTATTCTATTCTATTCTATTCTATTCTATTCTATTCTATTCTATTCTATTCTATTCCATATAAATATTCTATTCTATTCTATTCTATTCTATTCTATTCTATTCTATTCTATTCTATTCTATTCTATTCTATTCTATTCTATTCCATTCCAAGTAGCAGGGCCTGAAGAGAAACTGGAGAGGACATGGAAAGTCAAGGCCAAAATGCTCCTACTGGTGGTAGGGACACTCCAGGGTGGGAGAGGAGCTCCAGCAGATCCCGGGAACAACGTCAGGGCTGCTCTCTGTCCAGAAAAGCGTAGTTAAGGACCCTAAAATTGGGAAAGAGCCAACCATCTGGAGGGCGAGAGCTTCCTCAAACTGGAAACTGTGGGCAGCCAGGGAGGCTGTGGACTGATGGGGAGACGGTAGCCAAAAATAACACCACCAGCAATACAGGTAAGTCCTTGACTTAACAACAGTTCATTTAGTGACCGTTCAAAGTCACAACGGCACTGAAAAATGGGACTTATTTTTCACACACACCGTCGTAGCGTCCTCGTGATCACACGATCAAAATTCAGACACTTGGCAACTGACTCATACTTATGACCGTTGATGTGTCCCAAGGCCACCTCGTCCCCTTTTGGGACCTTCTGACAATCAAAATCAGCGGGGCAGCCAAATCCCCTTAACAACCGTCTTATGAACACATCAACTGCGGTGATCCCCTTCGCAAGTGCGGCGAGAAAGGTCGTAAAATGGGGGCAAAACTCACCGAACAAACGTTTCACTTAACAACAGAAATATTATGGACTCAATTGTGCTCATAAGCCGAGGACTACCTGTACACCCCCCCGTCCCCCCAAACAAGCAAATTCTGCACGCTCAGAAACTTGGCCAAGAGGAATCCAGAAGACAGCAGGGAAGTAGACTTACCTCCTTGGGGAGAGGAACAGGGTTGGCCCAACACCCAGGCAGAGATTGACGGCTCTTTCAAGCTCTTAGTTGTGTGTGTGTGTGTGTGTGTCCCTGATTATCCCTTAACTGAGATGGCTAATGCCCTGGTTCCACAAATGCTGCCCAGGCTTTGAGCTGCTCCTGCAGTGATGTGCCAGGCGAGCCCAACAGAAGGGGCTCTGTGTGCAAGCAACCCTGGGGGGGAAGGGGAAGCAGCGCTTCCGATGCCTTCAGACCTCTGGTTCTGGGTGAGTCACCGCCAAATAAATCGTGCTGAGAGTGGCTGGAGAAGGCTTTCCTGTGGGCCTCTCCTGTGTTTGTTCTGCTGCAAACACCGCCCGGAGAGATGCTTTAGAGCAGACATGTCAAACACAAGGCCCGGGCGAAGTGGTTTCATGTGGCCTGCGAAGCCATCCCGGAAACAATGAGGGAACGGCCCCCGCTGCCTTGGCCTTGGCCCTGGCCCGGGCCAGCCGGGAGCCAATGTACAATTTTGTGGTGGCCATCTTGGCACTTGCCCCGGTGGACCATGCCTTGGCGCTTGCCCTGGTCCCACCCGCTTCTGCCAGAGACCCTCAGATCTGTCCCACTCCTGCCCAGGCCCCCCACAGGCACCCTGGACGGGAACGATGTCGTGTTGGCCATGCCCACCCAGTAGGCCACACCCACTCCATCCATGCCCATCCAGTAGGCCGCACCCACCCTGGCCACACACACCTGGCCCCCCAAGAGCAACCGCAATGCTGATGCGGCCCGCAGTGAAATTGAGTTTGACATCCCTGCTTTAGAGGGAGCAGCCTCGGCTGGTGCTTCGTGGCTCTGAGGCTCCCCTCCGTGGGAAGGCAGGAGAAGGCAAAGGCTGCGGAAACCGGAATAACCGCCCCTTCGGTGCTTCACAGCCCAACGCAATGACAACCAGGCTTCGGGACTGCAGCCCAGGATTCTCTCCTTTCTCTTCCAGAGCCCGGAGGCAAAGGCAGGAATGGAGGGTTATTCCATCTTCAGTTCCTCTAAGGCAGTGGTTCTCAACCTTTTTAATGCCGCGACCCCCAACCGGTCGTAAGTCGAGGACTAAACCAGTCGTAAGTCAAGGACTAAACCGGTCGTAAGTCGAGGACTAAACCGGTCGTAAGTCGAGGACTAAACCGGTCGTAAGTTGAGGACTACCCAACCAGTGCTATTGCTATTGCTCTTCCTTTTTTCCTTCCTTCCTTCCTTCCTTCCTTCCTTCCTTCCATCCATCCATCCATCCATCCATCCATCCATCCATCCATGGTATGCAGTGGTTAGAATGCAGCACTGCAGGCTAATTCTGCTGACTGCCAAGTGCCAGCAGTTCAATTCTGACCAGCTCTGATTCAGCCTTCCATCCTTTCAAGGACAGTAAAATGAGGACCCAGATTGTTGGGGGCAATAGGCTGACTCTGTAAACCGCTTAGAGGGGGCCGGAAAGCACTGTGAAGCGGTCTATAAGTCTAAGCACTATTGCTATTGCTATCTCCCATGATTTGCAGACTGCATAGAGGCAGGCCGCATTTCAGTTTTAGCACGTTCTAGGAATCCAGCTGGCCTGGATTAGTGTTTGGGAAGGTGATGGTGCTCCTGTCTCTTCATCTCCCGGATGGAGCATCTGGCTAACAGCTGGTCGAGGTCCGAAACTGGCTGGCTCGGTCTGGCCAGGCCGAGCTGGGGAGGGCAACGGGACCAGCCAGGCCCACACCCCATTTCTAAGCCATCTGCCTCGGCTTGTGTGGCACAATCCGCCTCCTCTTCTGGAGCTCCAACAAAGAGCGGCCAGCTCCCTCCGCACGACAGAGGCCAAGGGGAAACCTCTTGCTGCCATTGTTTACACAAAACCTCCAACCGGCAGTAAACGCCAGGAAGTGCAGACACACAGACTCATTCAGTCCAAGCCTCTCCTTCAGAGAAAGAGCCTCTATTCTAGCGAGGGGAGGGCAGCCAGCCCCAGCGTGCTACTGTAAACACGGCTCTGCTGATCGTTTCAGGAGAAAAGCATTCCAGGGGTTTGGCGCTGCAGCTTCCAGGACCTTTCACAACCCTATTTCCCAGCGAGAGTTGGAAAAGGTGAAGGAAGAAATAATAATTACCCAGGTTGTTGAATGCCAAAGGTACAATGAATAGAATAGGAATAGAATAGAATAGAATAGAATGGGATAGAATAGAATAGAATAGAATAGAATAGAATAGAATAGAATAGAATAGAATAGAATAGAATAGAATAGAATAGACAGATTGTAGAATAGAACAGAACAGAACAGTACAGAATAGAATAGAACAGAGAAAAGGAATAGAATAGAATAGAATAGAATAGAATAGAATAGAATAGAATAGAATGGGATAGGATAGGATAGGATAGGATAGGGCAGGATAGAGCTGGAAGGGACTTTGGAGGTCTTCTAGTCCAGCCCCCTGCTCAAGCAGGAGAACCTATACCATCTCAGACAGGTGATTGTCCAGTCCCTTCTTAAAAACATCAACTGCAGTGATTCGCTTATGGCAAAGAAAGTCATAAAATGGGGCAAAACTCACTTAACAAGTGTCTCACTTAACAACAGAAATGTTGGCCTCAATTGTCATAAACCGAGAACTTCCTGTAGAATGCTAAAGTTGGAGGTAAAATAGCATCTGAAATAATAGGAAAATTTGACGCCTTTTAGGGAATGAAGCAGGAGACAGATTAATAGATTTGCCAAGAAAATCTAGTGTTTAACAGAGCAAAAACTGCCAGCAACCTAAAAGACACATGGACATCATTGGACAGAACACACAAAAATCAAACTGATGATCTGCTTTGCAGGCAAAGATGGAAAATCTCTATTTAGTCAGCAAAAGAAAAAAAAGAACAGAAAGAATTGGCATTGACTTTGTTCAGATCACAGGTTTCTTGTAAAACTACAACTTAAAACTAAAGAAAACAAAATTATTTCTTAACAATATTCCGTAGCAGTGAAAACAAAAGCTAGATTTAAATGGATTGGATTTGATAAGCAGACTATCTGTAGAACTCGGACTGAAATACATGCTGCCCTTAAAGATGAAACAAATAAAAATAGCCTGAAAGCAAAAAAGAGATAAAATGGCTATCTGCTGATTTTGTGAAAATAAAAGTGGAAAGTAAAATACAAATAATTTTTCCCCCCAACCGAACGCTAAGTTCCAGAAAAAAACAAAACAAGAAAATATAGGTTTTTGTACTGAATGTATATCATCATGATACATATAGACTAAAATGTTAAGTATATTAACTGTAAAAGTATATTAATAATACATTAATTATATTAAGGGCTGTCACAAAGAAGAGGGGGTCAATCTATTTTCCAAAGCACCAGAAGACAAGAAACAATGGATAGAAACTAATCAAGGAGAGAAGCAACCTGGAATTAAGGAGAAAGTTCCTAACAATGAGGACAATCAACCAGTGAAACAGCCTGCCTCCAGAAATCGTGGGCGCTCCATCACTGGAG